AGAACATGGCCACACAGCCCGGAAGACCCACACCAGCCATTTTCAGGTACCTTTCAAGAAAAGGACACATTCAAAAATGCTAAGGTTCCTGCTCCCACCCCAAGCCCAGGGCTTAGTGATTTCAGTCCAAAGTGTGAAAATAAGGTCACTTGGTTAAGATTCTTGAGGTAGCTAGGCTGGCACTGTTATGACTGTAGGCACAAATATTTATTGTTCAAATGTCAGGAACATGGCAGGGTGTGGAAGAGAGTGGAAAGTGCATAGACAATACACTTTCTTTCTGGAGAAGCTTCAGGTGCAGTGGTGTACAGAGTCAAGGGAGCACAGTCCTTACAACTTGAAAATACACCTGTCAATCCAAATCACTTCCCAAGAAACATAACAAGCAATCATAGCCATGTTGGTCTGTGAGGAAGGGGGGAAAAAATCTCCAAACCATATTTGATTGATATATTTATTAGCACTACCTAAAATGATACAAAAGTAGGTGCAAGATTTTGAGTTCTTCGAATTTTTCATTGGGCAAGATGGTACTAAAAGCAGGAAATAGGGGAAAGTCCAAAAATTACACCTGAGGTTTATGCCAGGCCAAAATCACTATCAAGATAGAGTTTGTGGACTGAAGTAATGTCAGATGAGTCATAATGTTTGGGGACAAAGAATTGGTTGCTCCCCCAGCTCTGAAAAAAATGAAGGCTTATAGTCCCCAGAAGGGCAAAATTCACAGGCTCCTGGTCTTGGAAAAGCACAACCACAGGAAAGTCATATCTGTAATAGTCTGTGTTTGCTTGAAAAAGGTGGTCATCCCCCTGCCCTGCTAGATGTTGCTACTTCTGTAGAAAGCAGTGGCTGGCTTCTCAGCATAGTCTGTTTGGTGGTTCAAGGCATTCTGCAATGCATTGTGGTTAGTTTATGGTTTGGGAAGTTGTATGAATCCAGGCAGTTGGATTAATTTAGTAAATCTGGGTTCAGGTAAGCAAGCTAACCCTGGGCTTCCATTCCTTGCAGGTGTACTGGTCCAGAGATTGGAGACTGCATCATTGTGGTACAGCCTAACTCCAGGTACCTGTCAGGAGCTGTTGGGGGGGCTGGGGAGACAGGGAGAGAATATAGAAAGATTGGGTAGGTCAAAAGAATCTTTCTGATTCTTTCTGCGCTCCCAGATTACTAATATTAGAAAGAAACCCTACCATTCATTACAAAGGATTGCTCAGAGAACCTAGACCACCTAGGCATTAAATCACTGTTTCTTTGTACCAAGAGAGTCCTAAGTTCTGTCTCTAGCATCTCCTGTTCAGACAATATGTGTGAGCAACCCACAGGCTACAGGTAGCCCTTAATGGTGTCTGCATGGCTTACAAACTCTCAGGAAGCTTTATTACCCATTTTTCACTGCCATTCAGTGGACAGCCTGTAATAGCCTCTTTATTGCAAAGCCTCTTATCTTGACTGTTTCAGGATTGCTTGAAAAAGGGAAGGGAAAAAAAGGGAGAAGGAGAGGGGGCAAGATTCACATCTCTACCCTGGTCCAGCAATTGAGATAGCAGCAGAGGAGCAGACGATGCTCCTGATCATGATTGCTTCTCCCTCTCCCTGAGGTCCTGATAGTCATCGCTGAGGGCCAGCGTTGGGGAAGATTTTTCCTCCTCTCCTCCCAGATTCCTTCAGATAAGCTCATGCTTTAGCACGAAAACAGCAAACTGGAATGGGGTTGCTGGGGGAGACAAGAGAGACTTGCATCTCCCCACCCCACCCCCACATTAGTAATCCTCATACTGAAAGGAAGAGAATGCTGTGTGAATGCATGAGAGTGTGTGTTTGGGTGTACAAGAAAGGTGATGTGGGCCTGTATGTATGTATTATGGATGAATGTATTCCAGTGCCACTTGTCACTATTCTATCTACCACTATCTCCATCAGAGTCTGAGCCTCAAACAGGTCTGTGGAAACTCATGTAATTTCCATCTGCTGTATTAAACCCATCTCAGTCTCTGTCTGAAACACTGAGTGCCTACCAAGCCATTCAGAGCACACAGTCCATGGTCAGTCCTCAGACTCTGTATGAGGTCTAACTTCCTAACTTTAAAGCAGGGCTGGGCCCTGCCTTAAAGCTTTACCCTCCTTTTGGTAGCCCCTAGACCATCCTGCTGAAATTCAACAATAACATGTTGGATTATGGCTATATCATTTTTACTCGTGTTTTAAATAGGTAGTCAAGCGGGTTCATGAGCTTCCAAAAAGCTTAATATGCTCCTTTTATTTTACTTTTTAAAAGGAGAGAGCAGACAAACTAAACAAGATGTCTCAGTGATTGTTACATAGGCTGTGATGACCCCTGGTTTGAATCACTTCTTAAGTATAAATCACATCTCAAAAAGGAACAGCGCTCTCCTTTTCTGTGTTCCTTGAGGACAATGGTGGCTGCCCTTTAAAACAATTGTAAGGATGATGGAGATAATGAACTGGTTCCAGATGATGATTTCACTCAGTTTACATGGAACACTTGGGACACCGGAAATAGATCGTTTCTTTTGGATTGTGATTATTACTTTGCTCTCCTCTTGAGGATCTTCCTCCAACCGCTAGAAAATCACTTCAGCAGTTTCTGGTTTTGGTATACAGTATAATACTGTATCCTCTGGCCCTGAGCATACTATGAACAGCTGGTTGAAGATAACAGATGGTAGTAACTTTTGAGGAGTTAAGCTCTCCTTCCATTAAAACCTGGTTAAAATAAATGCTTTTGCTTTCTTATTTTGACCATTTTTTTAGCCAAAGGGTTCCTCTTTCAAATTCCTTTTCCAAATGAAACTCTAATTGCAGCATGAATTCTCTCCAAGATTAACCCCTTTCAAGATAGTGGGGCTTGAAGGAGCACTCTGGCACACCACGGGCCAAGACAAGAAAACTGGCCAGGATCACAGCCCCTTCTCTCTGTTGCCTCCCGTTGTTGTTGTTGCCCTTCCACCTAAGACAGGCCCTCCTGTGAAAAAAGGTTTCACAACCTGAGTTCTCAGCTCCCTCACACAGAAAGAATCCCATGGGTAAGAAATAAAAAAAATATGTATGGGGGGGGGAGGTTTAGGAAGAAATTAAAATATTTTGATTTGGGTCTCACACATGCACACTGGAGCAAAATCTCTGCCTCTTCCAGTGCTGGCTTAAAAGGGCCCTTCCTCTCACCCCATTTCCACTTTCTCCTGCTCCATTTGCAGCCTTCTGCCTTTCTCCCACCAGTGCCCATTTTTTCCCCTGGAGGCCTTCACGGGTGGCACAAAAGGAGGGCTGGGCTACTACAGGTCCTGGCCTGCTGCCGGAGGGCGAGGATCGTCCCACTTTGATCTCCTTCCCACACACTTGTTTTCTCCCATAAGAAGGGAAAGAAAGTTCCCACCTTTTTGCAAAAGCTCGTTTCCCTTCCCTTTCTTCTCCTGCTCTTGAAACAGGGCCAAGAATGCAGCGGGGAAAGTCATCAGAGCAGCAGAGAAGAGGCTTGCGGCCTTTGGGCTCCCTGTTGGCTTGGGGCCTAGTTAGGTGGCAGCACCTTGGCTGGTCTTGAAAAGCTAAGCAGGGTCAAACCAGGGTCGTGCCTCGATGGAGGATCACAGGAAATCCTTAGGCTAGACTGGGAAGTCAGAAAAACATTCTGGAAAAAGGGAATTGCATACCATTTGCTACCAAGATTATTACATGCTTATACCCATAAACTCGCCCCAAGAGTTGAGTTTCATTCAAAGGAATCTTTCTGGCTTGGAAAGTAAACTTCTGGAATTGGGCTCCACTTGGTAAAACACCGAACAAACAAACAGAAACAGCCAACCCCCACCAAAACCCCTTGTTATGGATAAGAGGCAGTTTCTATGATGAAAGGGGAGAGTTTCAACAGATTATAAAACAATTTGGCTCAAACGCTTTAGGTTGGATGTGTTTGATATTGCTGGGATTTACAGTTTGTCTTGATCCTGGCAATTGGAGCAGAACAGGATAGCTCAATGCAGAGCAGCTTGGAGGAAGACGGCTGTTTCTGGACATGGCTCAGGAGAGACAGATTTCTCTTTGCTCCTTGAGGGGCAGCAGGCTAGCCAAAGGGGTGCAGGAGACGCTCTGCTCGCCAAGAAAGGAGAATGGTGGAGGCATTTATGAGGAATTGCCCCCAAGCACCTGCTATCTGGGTTGCCTCCCCCACTCTGATTTGTTAGCACCTCTGCGGCTCCGCCTCTGGCTTGCAAAGGATTGTGGAACCATGGCATGCTCTGTGATGCTGGGCAGCGAGGATGAAGGTTCACAGCACTTCTCTTGATTGTCCTAGGGCTTCGTCTGCCAAATGCATCACGCTTTTGCTGAAGCACCTCCAACGCCAGGCCTTTGTGTGCTAAAAATGATTATGAGCAATCTTCTCAAAGGAAAATAAATGTGCTCGCTGGGTAAATTATTTATATGAGCATTCTATTTTAGAATGTTCAGCATGTTCCCCTTTCGTTTTCCATAGTAATTCTTAAAAGAGGTCTGAAAGGGTGAGGTTTTTTTCTTATTTCTAAATTCAGATTAAACCTGTTTTCCTATATTTGCCCATTTATTCTGCCTCTGTCCCTCCTACAAGAAAAATCTTACATGTCTGCCATCCCACTACTGAAGGTTAACTGGTTCTCATTTCACCAGTTACAGCTTAAGGGCCAGAAACTTGTTTTCAGATGAAGACTAGGATGTTCAGGTTGCTGAAATCTCTCCCTCCCCCCTTCTCTTCCTGACTGTTTTTTCCATGCCGGTGTGGAACCGTGATGCGCGCACAGTCCTAACATACAGTGTTTGTATTCAGGAAAGCTCCAACAGTGATTGCTGTGATGGTTGTGGGCTGCCTCTTCGCCTTCTGTTCATGTGTTTTGCTCACCTTCTTGTACTGCCGTGGCAAGAAGATTCAGAAGAAGAGAGCCATGCGCAGATACTTGGAGAGAGGGGAGGTAAGATGATATACCCATGCCACCTTAGGGATCAGAGGTAACCGGTCAGATTTGATTGTATGGAGGGAAGGGGGAGACTTACATTTATTATTTAAGCCCTGATCCTGGTCTGTTTATGTTGAGGGGCAGCAGTCTACTAAAGCTACACTCTTCCCTGGGAGTAAGTCCAAATTAAACCCAAAGAAGCTGCCTTCAGAGTATAGAACTGTACTTCGCATGAAGTAGAGCCAAATACCTTGAAATGGGAAACCTTACATAGAGCAAAATGAAGGAGTGTTCCATCTAGGGGTGCCTTTTACGTGCATTGATATGTGCAAAATATGTTTAAAAAGGGCGGACTTCAGTTGCCCGGCTGTGCCTGCCATTTGACGCTGTTAACACCTCCCTTCTCCCCACCCCCACAGATACCCCTGGGTCCATCAGTAGCTTTGCTCGCTGGGGAGCTGATGGGAGATATTGTGCCCGTTCTTTAGGACTATGAGAAATGCCTCTTCCTAAAAGAAGTATTGGTACTAACTAGAAATTCCACTGGAAAGTGCTGGTATGATGGGAAAGAATTTCACAGTTTACTTATTTGGCACCATCATGGTTTCTAGAAGCTGCGCTAGTTATAATAGCAGACAAACCCAATTGAAGTGAAGCTCATTTTAAAAATCTTAAGTGCTTTGGTATATTTGAGAAGCAAATTATGATGCTTCTATCACAGGAATAAGCAGCAGTGTTTTCCCCCAGGCACAAATATGCCTTAGATTCCTAGCCCTCCTGACTTCGAAGATTCTTTTAACAAAAATAAATGATTAGAAAAGTTGCCTGCAGCAAAGCAAAACACTAGCTCTCTGCATCATATTTATATCTAACAAAGCCTTCGAACACCTACAAAAATCCCACTAGGAGGGGAGCAGGCAACGTGTGAAGGCTAGTCTCCTCTTCTCACAAATGGATGTTTTGTGATAGTATCCATTTTATGATTAGGCACGTTTCCTGGGGTAATCCTTTTGTGCTCTTCAGCCCCAAAAGGTTGCCCACCCCTGCCCTATCGAAGAGGAATACTGAGAAAACAAGGCTTCAGTTACCTGTTTTTCTTTCTTTCCTGTAGAGTTTGGAACCTCTGGATCCCAGTGAGAAGGCCAATAAGGTCCTGGCTCGAATCTTCAAGGAGACAGAATTAAAGAAGCTGAAAGTTCTAGGATCGGGAGTATTTGGAACAGTGCACAAAGTGAGTTGGAAACCTGGAAGGGAGAGCTTCTGTTTTGGTGTAGTTAAACATGCTTCAGGCTGCTTCATGTAGCAAGGGGCAGATAATATTGCGTTGCCCGTAAAGAAGGATTCACAACTAGACAATTGTATCTAGTACAGCTGGGGCAGTTGGGGAACCTAGTGAATGGGATAAGATTGCACGGGATGGTTTTTGATCCTTTGCAGGGCTGTTGATTCTCTGCAGCATTCTGCTTGTATCTGGGCTCCTCCAGGTGTGGTGGGCCTACAGTTCCCAGAAGCTGACTAGGCATTCTGGAAATGGTACTACCAACACATCTAATTAAGTGCTACTGAGAAATGATCCAGTTCCTTTCAGAGGAAGGAGCCAGATCGTGCTAAGCTAGATACAGTAAGTGAACTGTCCCCAATATTTCAAAGATGGCCAGAAGCGATGCCTCTTGTCCTGCTTTTTGTCGCTTTTCCTTCAGCAGCTGCTCTAGATATTTGTGAGAGCACAGTGGCCCCTGGAAAATCCTCTACTCTGCGGTGAGAGAGGGAGGCCAGGGTACCAAGAATCACAGAGTTGGGAGAGGCCATTTAGGCCATCAAGACCAACCCTTGCTCCTTGCAGGTAGTTAAATTACAGCATCCCAGACAGATGGCTGGCTACACCCATGAATCAGAGTCCACTGCTTCCTGTATAATTGGTTCTTCTCTCAAGCTGCTCTTATTATTGTGCTCTTTTTCTAATATAACTTAAATACATTATTCCATATCCTGCATCCTGGAACTAGAGAGCAGATCCCGATGTTTTTCTACATGACATCTTTCTAGATAGTTGAAGGGAAAAATGATTAAGGAGGGAGCACTGTCATATCTCTCCTCAGCCATTTTTTTAAGGCTAACCATACCCAGCTCCTTCAATCTCTCTTCATAAGACTTAGTTTTTAGTCCCTGATCATCCCCGCTGCCCTCCTATGAATCTGTTCCAATTTCTCTGAAACCTTCTTAAAGTGCAGTGCCCAGTACTAAACATGGTACTTGAGGTGTGGTCTGATCAAATCAGAATAAAAAGGAATAATTGGTTTCCATGATTTAGTTGCTATGCTTCTGTTGATGCAGCCTAAAACTGCAGTTACCTTGTTTAGCAGCTGGATCACACTACTGTCCTACTTCCAGTTCATGATCAGCTACTGTTCACAAGTATCTTTACCAAGTCAAACATCCTTCATTCTGTGCCTGTATGTTTGCTTCCTGTTTCCTAAGTAACTTTGCATTTGTCTCTGTTAAGAGAAGTGACTTCGCTCAATATGTTGAGAGGACCACCCCTTGACTTTCTACTTTGCCTGTGATGGGGCTGTAAAATATTCTGATGGTCGGCAGATATGACTAATAATCAGAGCAATCACTGCTCCATGATTAAAAGTTTAGACCAGTAGGATCCTTTGCTTCTTGTTTTCTCTGAAAAGAGAAGTGGATAGGAAAAATTCCACCTAGTGTTTGTTGAATGACAGATAGGATAAGGCAGATCAGAATTTTAGAAGACCGTGATTTCCAGTGATTTCTCAACATTTATTGTTTTATGAGTGGCTTCTTATTTTAAACAATTGGTCATTCCCAGTTTTCTTTCCCTTCAGGGTGTCTGGATTCCAGAAGGAGACTCTCTTAAGATCCCTGTAAGCATCAAAGTTATCCAGGACCCGAGTGGCCGACAGTCCTTCCATGCTGTGACCGATGTAAGTGCTATATAGGTCACAGGCAGAGAAGTTGGGATTGGCCTCCCCAAATTCCTTGTTGTGCACAGGCAAACAGACGAGAAATTAATAGATTAGTATCTATTGATAAATCTCTTGGAATGTGCAGTAAATCCCAAAGGGCATCAGGTTCCCTGTTTTTCATCTACAAGAAAATCATCTTCAGCATGGTTGATCTGGTTATTAATTGGTTGCTTTTGGCTGAATATTTATTCAGCTTTGCTGGTCACTTAATTGTGTTAGAATTGCTGATAGTTGATAACTCAGAAGGACATGTGAATGTATAATGTATCAGTTCAGTGGGTGTGCAATGCATGGTGAACTTCATCCCTGAGCTACTGTTTTTTGTTGGTAGACCTCAGTGGTTCAGTGAGACGGAAGACTTCTCATCTGTGATTATGGCCTTCGTAGTTTTGGGCTTCTCTTTGTAGTCCCAATCAGAAACACATCATCTAACATGGAAAATGAGGGTGGCGGTGGTTGTTATTTATCCCACCTTTTTAAGATATAAGTCAAGGTGGGGAATATATCTGATACCTTTGGCTGTAATCAGATCCTTGCCCTGATGCTATGTTTCTTTTTCTTTTGTGCAGCACATGCTAGCCATAGGTAGTCTGGATCATGCATATATTGTCCGTCTCTTGGGCATCTGTATTGGTCCCCAGCTGCAACTTGTCACCCAGCTTCTGCCACTGGGCTCCCTGCTGGAGTATGTTCGCAAAAACAGGGATGCCATCGGTCCTCAACTGATGCTCAACTGGTGTGTCCAGATTGCCAAGGTAGGTTTTGCACAAGAATAGCAGGGATCCTATTCCAGGTCAATTAGGATGGAGTTCATCCCCCAGATTATCGTGTGAGGGAAGGAATGCCTTCCATTTTAATTCCCATATATCAAACTTCAGGAATTGAGGAATTCTCCAGAGCAGTGTTTCTCAACCGTGGCAACTTTAAGATACGTGGACTTAACTCCCAGAATTCCCCAGCCAACTGGCTGGGGAATTCTGGGAGTTGAAGTCTACATATCTTAAAGTTGCCACGGTTGAGAAACACTGCTCTAGAATAATACAAGATGTACCCCGGGGCCACTAGCGGGATAGGGGAACTGCAAAACTTCAAAACTTGAGGGTGGAAGATGTTTTGTAGGAGCACAAGTACATTTTCACTGACATAAGGGGCTGGAGAAACTTCCCTGAATTTTTTTTAATGTTCTGTTTAACTTATCTTGCAGTTATGCATCTGCACAAGGGTGTTGTTCCTGGTTGCTCTTTTGACTCATACAGTGCAGGCACATGCCTAAACAGATCTAATCTAACACAAACTGACTGTACATCCTAAAACTTGTTTCAGAATCTTCTACGATGTAATATGATTTTCATAAGTTCCACAAATCTTCATCCTCCCCCATTTTTGCTCCTCCCCAACACATTCTTGAATGGCCCCACTGATGAGAGTTTTTACAGATCCCTGGGTTTGCAGTCATTCCAGCACTCACAGTCTCTTGAAGAGAGGAGGCATAAAATGAAATACTTGATTTACATTAGGATGAGCTGAGCTAACATGTATGGGCAGGGCTAGCATAGCGTATTACTCTGGTGAATCAGACACTCAAACTATAATGAATCCAACTGGCTTAAGTGTGGAAATATAGTCATTCACGTGAAGGGTCATTTAACCATGCAGGGTGGACTTGCGAAAAAGCAAAAGAAATATTGGATACAGATACATATAACGATACAAAGAATTCTAAAGATAAACATTCAGATGAAACCAGAACTATTCTTATTGGGACTTACGGATAACCAATTAGAAAAGACTTATGGAAGATTGGTTTTATATACGATAACTGCAGCGGGACTACTGTATGCACAAAGATGGAAAAATACTGAAATACCCACAATGGAGGAATGGATTGTAAAGATGATGGAATTCGCGGAAATGGCAGAAACGACCTCTTTGATCAGGGATGAGACGACAAGTACTTTTATTAAAGACTGGAAACTTCTGATGGACTTTTTGCTGACAATGGGAAAAAATGAACTGTGACTTATGGATCTGCTGATTAAAAAGGGTTGATTATGGGAAGAAGAGAATAATGATGTAATTTTAATAAGGGAGGAGAGAGGATAAGTTTGCAACTGCTGTAAAGAAAATTGGAAGTTGCTTCTTTATATCTTTTTTTTCTATTTGTATTTTCACATTTTTCTTAACTTTTTCACTTCACGTTACTCTTTCTTCTTTTTCTTTTCTTTAATTTTATTTCATGTTTATCTTTTACCTCTGATTTTTTTAGATAAAAATGGTTAAAGGAAAAAATGGAAATACAGCCATTCATCTATTCTTCCTTCTTAATATTCAGGGTATGTACTATCTGGAAGAACATCGCATGGTGCACCGCAATCTTGCTGCCCGTAATGTTTTGGTTAAATCCCCGAGCCAAGTACAAGTGGCAGACTTTGGCATTGCTGATTTACTCTACCCAGATGACAAGAAATACTTTTACAATGAAATTAAGGTTAGTGCCTATTTGAGTGAGACTCCATCCATCCATCCGATATATAGATAGAAGCACTTCTGCATGAGTGTTTTGTACCAGTTTAGATTCAGGTGTAGATCTGTCAGATCTCACAATATGGTCTGGTTTGGGAAGAAAAGTTAATCATTTCTAGCTCTGCACTGGATTATTTGAAACCGGAGCAAAGCTGGCTTTGTATGCTGAGTGGTGATTTTCCACAAGCAGCCAGTTGGGGCAGGACACCAACTGAATGGTGCTTGTCTCATCTTTACACTTCTCTTGGTTGGCTGGAAGGACCATGATTGACATATGACGTGTCAAGGCTGAATTCCCAAGGACCACTTTATTTCAAAAGTTCCAGGGGAAAGGAGTCACATTCAGAGTTGCTCAACCCACAAAGAAACTTCTACCAGTCTCTCCATGTATGTGTATCTGCAGGTAGATCAAATTCATTCTTAGAATTTACCTTTCTGATTTGTGTTTTTCAGACACCAATAAAGTGGATGGCACTAGAGAGTATACACTTTGGAAAATATACACACCAGAGTGATGTGTGGAGTTATGGTATGTGTCTGACTATTGCCATCTATTGAGAATTTGATTATGGCTGCTCCATCTATGTTATTGTCATACGTTTCCAGAAATCAAGAATTTTTACTTGAGCCTGCTAGGTGGTACCTATGTTTGCCTTCGTAGTGTTCAGATTTGTCTCTAATGACAAAACAAGCATTTCAGGACAGAGAGGCAGATTCAGGCTATGAAATACTACATTTAAAGACTGAATTTAAAGATTTCAGTTGAAGATCTTAATCTTAAAATAAACGTGACACGTTGAATTGAACTGAATGCTATTGAATTGACTAGTTCAATCAAATTAGCTCAATCTGATGATTTCATAATTTGAATTGACTCATGTCATTGAATTATTTAAATCAGATCAAGGGTGACTCTCACAGCCCTAATGTAGCTGCCTTCATTATGCTTTAAGATTCTTTGAAATCTTTGGTGAGCTGATCCAGTAAGAACTCAGAGATACTCCAAGGCTTTAATCACTAACAGTCAGCATAAGAACTGTGAAGCACTTGTCCTCTTTGTGCACGGGGAAAAGAGGCCTGTAATCTCTAATTTTCCTCCTTCCAGATCAAGACATGTAGTAAATGAGAAGAATGGAGGAGCAATCTGCCCAAACTCTTGGCAACTGTTTTAGTCTCCCTGACAACATTCCTCTTGCTTTTTTAGGAATCCTTGTGCTAGGCTATGAAGAGCTCCTGTTTGCTGATCCCCCACTGTTAGTGCCCATTAGACACTAATCATGTCTCCTTCTGGGGTTGTAGAAGTCTTCTGGCTTATTCAGAGTTACAATGTTAGGTGCCATAAGACTTTCTCCTCTAATGTTCTATAGTTTAAAAAGGGGGTTCTAAACTTGGGGCTCTGTGGATAGATTTCAAGAGGGTTGTGAACTTGGGTGGGAAAAAATTTACAACTTTATTTTCACATATATTACAGGTAGTCCTCGACTTATGACCATTTGGTCAGTGACCGTTCCAAATTACGACAGCATTGAACGAATAGTGGTTACAACCAGTTCTCGGAGTTCTGGCCATCCCAGCATTCCTGCAGTCACATGATCACGATCTTGGTGCTTGGCAACCTGTTTGCACTTGGTTGCCAAGCGCCCTGTGATCATGTGATTGCCATTTGCAACCTCCCCTGCCAGCTACCCCAGAAAGTCAATGGGGAAGCTGGCAGGGAAGGTCTCAAGTTGCTGGGGTAAGTCTTCCCCACCCATGCATCCTCCCCCAGCCCCTCTGCTCTCACATCAGGCCAGCCACTTGCACACCCTAGCGCACCCTCCCCAACCCATGCCACACTCTCCCCGACCCATGCCCCACCCTTGTGCACCCTCCCCGACCTGCACCTCTCACATTCCTCCTCATTCCCTCCCCCACCTGGCAGCAGCCAGTTACTTGTCTGTGGGCCTGGGATTTGCAGCTTCCTGCCAGCTTCCTCACTGATTTGGTTGTGGGAAGTGATCATATCGCTTAGCGACAGAAATTCTGGTTCCAATTGCCACTTTAAGTCGAGGACTACCTGCATTATATTATGCATTTGTTATTCTTTAATTGGATAAGTTTCACCAGCCCTTCAAAGTTCTTAATCTTAACAAAAAGTTTAAGACTCCCTGATTTAAAGTGACTATTTCATCTAATCATTAGGAAATACCATTCTCCATTGGAAATGTAATATTCAAGAACTTTCACTATCATGCAACTACATCTTCCCACTATTTTCCTCCTCGCCCCCTCCTTTGGGGAGGATGGAAGTGGAAGAGCAGGCCACTTGCACTTCTGCTTAACTTTTTGCATTCAGGACCATTCTGCAATGACTCTTGATCTTTTTCTAAGCTAGGACACACTTACCCATATCTTTGCTGTGAAGTTTTTCTCACTGTATCCTCATTGCTGAACAGCTAACCATGCAACACCTAGTTTTCATTCACATTTTTCATCACTTCATCCCATACAGGAGTGACATTGTGGGAGATGATGACTTTTGGAGGAGAACCTTATGCTGGAATTCACCTTTCAGAAGTTCCTGACCTACTGGAAAAGGGAGAACGCCTCTCACAACCCCAGATCTGCACCATTGATGTCTACATGGTAATGGTAAAATGTATGTAATTTTTTTACACTCCTACCTCACCAACCCCTTTCAAAACGTTTGTTCATTAACTAATCAAGAACCCACAGGCTTGGGGTGTTACCCTAAACTACAGGAGATGTCCTATTCGGTGCTTACTTGAAAGATTTTCTAATCTCACAGGTTGGATGATTGATGAGAACATTCGTCCCACCTTCAAAGAACTAGCCAATGAGTTCACACGAATGGCCCGTGACCCTCCTCGCTACCTGGTGATCAAGGTCAGTTGTTGACTCCCTTTCCCCGCTGAAGTTACAAATTACACCAATGGAGACCTTAAAGGTGTTAAATACTCAACAGTTTGGTCAAGCGTGCATTTGTTACTTCCATGAGACCTTGTCTTGCTTTTCTTCTGCACTCCTACCAGCTAGGAAACACTTACTCACAAATTTGCCCTGAAGTGGTTATATCCTGCCTGTTAGACAGGACCTGCCCATGTTTCATTTTTCCAAGATAGGCAAATAGAAAAGTAGTGCGTGTGGCATAGGGGGACATGCCAATTTTTATAAAAAATAAAACTTTTTCTTAATGGAAATATGATCTTGGAAAATTAACATTTCCCATGTCACTGCTAAAGTAGTTAGATTGCCAGGAAGTGTCTATGCCCCATTAAACAGCAACTCAGAATAGTTCCATAGGTTCTCATCTCATAGCTGAGTTCTCTGGCAGGACAAGAGATGCCTTTAAGAACCCAAGGCTCACTATGGAACCTGCTTGAAACACAAGAGCTCGGTTCCATAGCATCTAGCTTGATCTAGTAAGAGAAATTTGTCTGCTGGGATTGTTTGGTTTGCAGTTCATCCATATGCAGTTTGGACTCTCCTCTCTCATCGTGCCTGGACATTATGTAAGCCAAGACCTGCAGGGAGTGTGGGATGGTCTTCCAGGAAAACTGGAGGCCTGATACTTCTCCTTTCTTAAAGTGAGGCTCTACCTAAAGGCCTGTAATCCAGAGACAAAATGTTCTGCTCTCACTGTGTTACTCTCAATGATGCTTGATGACAATGCTCAGAAGCTGAGGCATGGTATTAAGAAGTTACCATTTGAAATAATATTAAAGGTAATACTTGGCCTTCTCCACAGAGAGAAAGTGGGACACTATCTCCACTTGAGCCACCCACACTCAGTGAAAAGGAGTTAGATGAGATGGAGACACTGGAGATGGAATCAGAGTTGGAGGAGGAGGAACTTCACAACCTCTTTGCCTCCCGGCAATGGGTGGACTCCACGCGGGTAAGAAGGTCCCCCCTCACCATGGTCTATGACCCTGCCTGTCACAGCTACTTTAGAATAGGATCAGAAAGTTGGGTCTGGAGCTGTAGAATGTTTTATTAGATTACACTTAGGCCATCAATACATGTATCTCTACTGTTTGGGACAATCAAATGAGCTGTTGGATTTCTGACGAGGAAATTAATTGGAGGACTATGCTGGAAGGCCCCTTTTTACTTGGGAAAACATTTGCTTTTCAGTAGCACTGAGGGAAGCATGTTTGTAGAGAGCAATGTTCTGCTGCCATAGCTGATGAAGAGGCTTTGCTTCCAAGGATTGTCTTATTACCTTTATTTCTCCCACTCAGAAAGTAGAGGAATGTAGGATGGCCTAATACACAGCAAAATGTTCAGGAGGCAGCATAGGGGACAGGCCAGGAGACCTGGAAGTGTGGGGCTGAGGAAAAGTAGTTGTGGGTGAATATCAGGTCCTCAGCAGGGAACTGGGGCTCCCTGGGAAACTGTAAGAGGGAGGGTCAACCTGGATCCTCAGCAGAGTGGAAGCCTGGAGATCTGTGCGCTGCGGCTCACTATGCTGCTGAGGTTTGAGAGTGGGCTTCCAATCAGTGCAACCCCAGAGAATAGAACATCCAGTATCCCTCTTCCTTCTGCATTTCCTACAGCCTCTGCCAACCAGAGTTCTGGTAGCTCCATTCCTCAAGGGAAAATGTACAGATTTAGGATTAAGACACATTTGTAAATGAATGTTAACTCTTTCCCCATTATATGATACTAAGTACCTTGAAAACTTTTGTTGAAAAGCAGAATGAAACTATTCTATGTGTATATTAAGAAAAAAACAATTGAGTCAGCTCAGCTTATCTGTACAACTCCTCCTTCTCCTCCTTCTCCTTCCACTCCAGCCTCCAAATCTGCTGAACTCCTCTGCTGGATACATCCCCATGAATCAAAGCAGCCTCAGTGGAAATCGGCAGGTATGAATTTCTTCTAAGTTTGTATGGAGAAAAAAGCTGGAGTAGAATAAAGCACTGTAGGTCCACCATTACTATAGGGGGGAGGGAGGCGGTGAATTGGGAGGTTGTTGTATGTAGGATGGCAGGAAAGGGAACGCCTTAACACTCTTCAGAAAATTTATCTTAGCTTTTTCTAATGTGTCTCCAAATGAGTTACACTATTATTCCCAGACAGTGCAAGTATTGGGTTATGCTAATGAGGAAATCTGGGAGCTGTGCTCCAAAATATCTGGAGTGTGCCAGGTTGGAGAATGCTTCATTAGAAGGTCTGGTGTCTGCTATTAAAGGAGCTCAGGTAGAGATCTTGCAGAGTGAAGGCCATCCCACCGAGACCAGCCTCATAATTTGTGACTCCCGAAGTTCACTAGCCATGCACTTGTATACATTAGGCCCTTGACAAATTTCCTGATTTGCATCTCCTGAGCTTCTGAATGAGTACCATTGACAACCAGAGGCCTGGGCCTTCTTGGCAGGTCATGAAATGTGTCAGCCTACTATAGAGCATGACCAAATGACTCCTTACGGTTAGAACTTTGGGACACCATTACCCAGCCTAGGTATCCCCTGGATGTGTGGACTTCAACTCCCAGAATTCTCATCAGTGACAAAGTGGGCTGTAGAATTTTGGAAATAGTCATTTGTAGGGTACAATTACCAGTTCTAGCAATCAGAAAAAATGGGAGTCTTCCAGGTTTCAATAAATCTTTATCATTACCTAATTTCTGACTCCTTTTGGATCCAGGGTACAGGACTGGGCTCCCGGCAGACTTCGCGCATAAGGCAGGAGTCGATGGGTCGTACCATATCTGAGTCCTCTGAAGGACGAGGCACAGCCTCCGAGTATGATCTCACAGAGGATATGTCACTGTCTGGAAGCTTATGCCGCAGCCTGCAGTCCCGGGGAGACAGTGCTTACCTGTCTCAGCGGGAAAGTCTCATGCTACCAGTTGGAAATGCTGATGGAGAGGAAGACGTCAATGGCTACGTCATGCCAGATCGAAATGGCAGAGGTAAGAGCAGTGCCAGAAATGGCCCTGCAGGGAAATGAGATGCAGTCCATGCCCTCCTACACATAGAACATTAAATGTTCCCACACCACAATGGGAAAAGCAGGGTTATAACAGATCTGCCCCGTAGGGACAGTAGATAGATCTTGGCTCTCCCTCCACCATGGCTTGCTTCAGTTGTTGGCCATAGCTAATAATTTTGATTTACTTACTCCGAAGTGAATACAGCCACACTGAAATAGAATAAACAAAAACTATGATCCAAGGGAGTTGCTACTACCCCTTCCCTCCACCTCCTCCCTGGAGCAGTGGAATTATCTCAGATGCCTGAGACTGGTGTAGCCCTATAATGGAGTTGTAGGTACAGCCTTCATGATCCTGCTCTGCAGTCAACTCAGCTCTGCAATGTTGTGGGGCTGCACCTGGGATTGTCTTTTTCTGATTTCTTACCTTATCCCTTAGAATAGGGATGCGTCAACTGCATATAAGCGTAACACTGCCTGCTTTCACACAAGGCAGCACTAGACAGTCTGCTTATGCTGTTCATTTTTATTCCATTGTTCCTAGAAGCAGACCCCAAGTATAACTTGCCCAAACCCTTCCACGTAGCACATGCATTGCAGTACTGAATCCACTTAATGCGCAGTTCTATTCCAATTTCAGGGGGATTACTATCTCAACCTTAGCAATGGCTGTTTCTTATCCTGGGTGACCGCAGAATGACAAAACCCTTGTTCCCCTTTTCCGTGCAGAGCGTGCTGCTGGTATTGCTGCCTCCCTGTTGCATAGCTCCATCCCTGTGCATGAAGTGGAGGAAGAGTATGAATACATGAACCGCCGTGCTCCACAATCCTCGCAGCCCCGGCCAGCCTCTCTGGAGGAGCTTGGTTATGAGTATATGGATCTTGGCTCAGAGCTGAGCGCATCTTTGGGCAGTGTGCCAAGCTCCCAATTGACTACACCTTGCAGGGAGGATGAAGATGAGGAAGAGGACTACGAGTACATGAACAAACAGCCCAAACTTAGCAAGTCCCTGAGTAGCATCCGCAGTTCTCGGGGAGACTATACCGATATGGATTCTGGCATCACCCAGGGCTCCCCAGATGAGCAGGGGTATGAGGAAATGGGTGCTGTGTTGCCCCCAGTTCAATGTCCTGGCTGCCAGAGTCCACCCTGTCCCAAGAATGGTTTCATGAAACCCTTGCGCACACTGGAGTCCTCAGACTGTGCTTTCGATAATCCAGATTACTGGCATAGCCGGATGTTCAGCAAAGTTGATGCTCAGAGGACATAGCTGGGGCCTGGAAACTTCCTCTGACTCTTTATGGGTAGCTAAAACCCTTGCTCTTTAGCAGCGATCACACTTTATGGTGATTGTGGACTGCAAAGGCAAACGTCTGTTCATCTCCAAAGCCTCTGTGATGTTGACCATAGCAAGCAAATATATCTAGACCAATGATGGGCTTCTCAAGAATTACAGTTTTCCCATCTTGCATTGTGGATCAACAGCCATACAGGAGGTATCTTTGGTTCAAATGCTCTGGACCTGCAAGGCAAATAGGACCAGTTGGGGAGCACAGTTCAAACTGGAATCCATTCCTGTATACAACCCTAGAGTGAGGCCTGCTTCTGCAGTACAGGCTTTTGAAAGAGACTTGCTAGCTGCTGTTCTAGACAAACATGCCCTGCCTACAGGTGGATGACACTGGAAGCAGCTCTGATAAAGCCAGAGAGAGCCTTCTGTGCTGTCTAGGAAAGTGTTGCGCTCTGGGACAGCCCTCTGTCCACCACAAGCAGAGCAGCCTTAATCATGAGCCAAGCATGCTGAGCCTTACAGATGGCCAGAAGGCTGAAGGGACAACCTTCTTGAGAAAAAAGATGCCGACACTTGTTATATCTCCCTCTAGCAAGATGCATAACAGTAGAGGAGATGATTAATTATCAGGGTAGATATGAAGGATAATGGTACTTCTTCTAAGAACTTGTCACAAGCAACCTCACTGAAGAAGCCAGTGTGCCCAAGCATGGGCTATGAGATGACTTTGGGTTTTGCTCCTACCTCTCAGTAAGACATTTGGCACTCCTGGTTCTGCCTATGTCATGATGTTTCAATCTGCTGTTAGGAACCCTCATATCACAATGAGATATTTGAGATGGGTGGGTATTAATGAAGTCTGAACATGCAGGAGGCTAACTTCCATTTTTGGCAGTTAGATATTCATGATTACAAGCAACTTAAATTTTATTTCCTGGCTGTGGAAGATCTAGCAATCTCAAACACTGCCAAACCACAAGCAGTAGGGAGAGAGTACCAATTATTATAAGGGGGGGGGGAATCTTTCTGTTGTCCTATGCAGAAGAAGCTAGAGGCAAAGAGATTTTTTGAAAGGCAGTAATCTTCATATTCTTTGCTAGAAAGGAATATGGGATGTTTCTCAGATTAGGAACCAAGGAAAGAGACTAGCAGTAATTTAAGCCTTGCTACAACAAATCGACAATAGAGAGGAAGTCTCCTTATTCCTGAAATTAATTTCAGTACTTCTGTTGGAAAGGGTATAAGGTGGAACTCTCAGCTTTAATGGCATTATTTTGATTCTTTTGAGTCAGGCTCATTTATACAAGAGTGTGATTTGGGACCAATTTTTCCCTTTCCTCACCACCATTCCTCCCTACCCCAAGGGCTCGTTACAGAGTACACAACCTTGACATAACCCACGTGTTCTGGATTGCATCACATAAATGGGTATTTACAAAAGGGAAAAATCCATCCCAATTTGGGAGAGGCAAAGGTTGTGATTTGAGCATGCTGGGTTTGTTTGTTTGTTTGTTTTTGGAATCCTGGTGCCGGTTTCTGCACAGTTTGAACAGCGTGTTCCTCTCTTCTATAATCGGTCAACATTCTGGCCCAGCTTAGAATTTACCATGCAAAACACTGTTGCAGTCAGAGCAGTTATCCAGATTGTTTTAGGGCCCACCCTACTGGGCCCTTTGAATTCCCAATGTCTGACTAAAATTTCAATGGAGATTTCAGAAAACCTCCATATGTATCTAATCAAGTCAGGCTGCTTTGATGGTTTCTGGTTAAACTACTTCTTTCCCTCTAAATCACACTGAAGGAAAAATAAGAGTGTGTAATATAAAGGGAAATTCTATTCTTTGCCTATGAGAGCTATATCCAACCATTATGATGTATTTTCAGGTGTACCTCCTTGAACTGACAGTTGAACTCAGCTGGATTTAAACTGACCTTGAGTTTCAAGGGATTTTAAAGGAATCCATTGCAGGTTCTTAGACTCTGACCATTAGTGGTCCTTTGCTACTGCTGATTCTGGGGAACACAAAATGCTGATAGAACAAATCAACTCTGTTCCTGTCCAGATCAGAATTCCTTAAGGTACAATCATACCTGAAGGGCTGAACACTGCCCAATTCATCTGGGTCCTGCCAATTAGAAGTGCTAGAAAACCATATACAAGAGAAGGATGCTAGAGATGCTAGTAGGCTGCCCTCTAGTGAGTAAACGACATAAAATGTACTGCTATTTGACTGAACTGAGAAATTCACTAAAATGAAATCTTTGAGGAAATGGGAAATACAAATTTATTCTCCTCGTTCATTAAATGCTTCTCCCATTCTTTCTGCCTACATAGCAGAACAAATATGGGTAAAACATTTTAAATATATGAAATGAAATGAAATGAAATGAAAAATGAAATGAAACGAAACGAAACGAAATGAAATGAAATGAAATGAAATGAAATGAACGAGACCCAGTTTGGTCCAGTGGTTAAGGCTCCAGGCTAGAAACCAGGAGACTTTGAGTTCTAGTCCTGCCTTAGGCGTGAAAGTTGGTTGGGTGACTTTGGGCCGGTCACTCTTTCTCAGCCCACAGTGTCAGGCTCAGGTGACAAGCTGGTCGGTCAATTCCTGTTGCAAACAACAAATCAACAGTGAGTTGATCCAAAAAGAAAAAAACCTTGGACCCTGCACATGAGGGAAAAATGCTAGAATGAAAAAAAAAGTATGCCCTGAACATTCATAAAATAATGGAGTATGCCCAGTTGGACATAGTAGGATTTATTTCTGAGTAAACCTACATAGAATTGCAATATTCTGAAATCAAAATCCATCAGAGCTGTGTGTAAATTGCAAAAGAGTTCTTGGTTTGATTTTTGAGCCAGGAAGTTTCTTCCACCTCTTTTTTCAAAGCTTCTTTCCCATTCTTCCAAAACATCAATACCTCTAGATCAGGATGTTCAGTAGAAATATTTTTAAATTTTGATTAGACAAATTAGTCCATCTTCCTTCAAGAAAAAACCCAAATGCAGTGAATTTTGGAGGAAAAGTTCCCATAGAACAAAACTGAAATTAGAAGGCAGTTGTTCTAACAGTTCTGGTTTTGGACTATTTGGACCTGTGTGGATCTGGATTCCTGAAAGTACAAAGAAGCAAAACTCACCATTGATGCTCATTTTGTGACAGTTTTTATGCAAAGAGAGCATAAAATACTCCAGATAAATCAAGGCATATTCTAGTAGACGTAGGTATGCTAAAATTTAGCAGTAATTCATAACCAGACATAATACTATTTGGATTTGCAGACAGAGTTTCCAAAGGCTACAATCTAAAACTTTTTATTCCAGAATATCCCTGGCAAGAAAAGAAATTGTTGGGTGTGCACTACTTGTACTTACAATAGAGATCAGTATGAAGAAACATTAGCTGAAGCTTTTCATAGCATAAAGATGAATAGTGACTAGGATCCAGTGCTCATCTGTGCTTTGTTTAACAAGCCCCAGTTGACTGGGTTCACTCATACTAACCCAAAGCCAGCCAAACGATATTATCACTTAGCATGAAGGATGATCCCTGGTTACCATCACCATCTAATTGCTACAGATCAAATTCTTAATAGAAGGAAGAGCTACGTTAAGCCACTTGCAAATCTAGCAAGTCTATGATAGACTCACCCCTGAGAATTTTTTATATATATGGAGGGGGGGGGGAGAAAACCCCACCAACTGCTACTCCTCCCTTCACTACATCATTTGCTAGGAATTATCACATTTATTGAAATGCTCTATTTTGTGCAACCCTGACAGCCCTAGTTTATGTGTGCTTCTTTGGTTTGTAGGAAAGTGCTTCTTTTATTTGTAGGAAAGAAATTTGAGCCACCCTCAGTTTAAGGAGAAAAGAAAAATGATAAATCAGAGTTAAAATAAAGGGATTGGATTTGGTGGGATTTTGAAGTGGAGGTGTGAACCCTAACCCTAACCCTGCACTTATTCCAACTGCTATTGCTTCTCTCTTCGGTTACACATCTGTGCCATATGAACAGTAACCAACATCAGAGATAAGGCATTTCACAGAGGTACAACGAATAGATGCCAATTGTTGCAGGCTATGGCGAAAACAAAAACATGAAAGCAGCTCATTGAATTGTTTTAGAACTGGTACTTTTTGTTCATTGTTTGTGTAGGATAAAAGTGCCACTTTTAATGTTTCCCTATTCTGTATATTGTTTGTCATAAAAATCATGTCGGATTGCTTTGTTTTATTTTTGCCCTGCTCTGTAACTGGTGAAATGAAGGTTTTTGTCTTTTTTTTTTTTAAACCAAATTGGAAGGAATCCAAATATTGGCATACTTTGAATGGCTTAGTGCATTGTTCCAGCTTCAGTATAACAAGGAATAATAGTGGTATTTTAAAAACAAACAAATATGAGCTATCTCTATTGTCACTGGCTATGATGATGGGAGTTCTTTCCTGTGCCAAAACGTAAATAAATTGCAAGAATAGCAACAGGCATGGATCACACATGGAGTTACATTTAGAAGGGTTTACATGCCATCACAACTTTCTGCTTCCTTATCAAAGCAGTGCTGATTAGGAAGTTGAATCTAGCAAGGTGATAGGTTTCCAAGATTTGGGGAGGGGGGTGCAGTTATTATGACTTTACTAAAAGCTGGATATAAATCATACCTCCACAGACCGTGGTGGATTTGAGGCTTATTTCTTGCTGGGCAAGGACTAGATATTTAACCATTTTCAAGGAAAGAATGGTTGAGTTTTTCCAGACAGAGGTACTTCCTGTTGCAGAAGACCTTACAGAAGTTTGTGTGTGTGTGTGTGTGTGTGTGTGTAATACAAAATAAAAAGTTATTGATAAAGCACAGTGTTTATATCCATGTCTGTTGATGAAAATTAATAGGGGGTGGCAGAGGTAATTTTATTTAGCATTTCACATTATAATGTATTTCAACTGTTCTGTATACTTCCTCTGTGTTACCTCAATAATAATGAGCTGAGAAGTTGGGTGTATGGACATTTGATGTTTGAGAGTCATAATGGTGTTGTTGCCCCCTTTCTCGAAGGGGGGAGTTGCTGCAGAACAAAGACTGTTTCTTACATGAAGTAATGAAAGACAGCTTTCCTCATCACTGCAATTTGTATTTGAGAAAAAAATGTACCAGTGACTTTCTGCCAACAGAAGAGCTTTAACAAGAGAGAAATAGAATGAGAAAACTAGGTTTGCTTATTATGGACAGCATGATTTGCCTTAGCCATAATTGGTGGTATAAGCCACAAAACCTGCTCACTCATGCCATAAATCACAGTTGACAAGCTACAATGGTTAGTTTCAGATAATCTGTTAAGTCATACCTAGAGAAACCATATGATGATTTAATACAGTTTGTGAACCCAACCAATGATATCAACCCACGGAGCTGTCAAACTTGTTTTTGCCCAAACTGCTTCTCATTCAAAGGCCAAGTGGGCTCTGGCCTGGGAAAGTTTCACATCCCTTTCAAATAGCATCTTGATGGCCTTCAGCACAAACTATCCCAGCAGCCAAGCCAGTAAGATCTAGGAATTCTTGGAGAAGGAGATTGAGGCCACCCATCCCATCTTTCCCCATATCTATTCTATGCCACAGAGGATTCCTCAGCCCAAAGGGGTTGGAAAGCCTTTGTGCATGGGAATGCACAATCTTTGTGTTGGTGGAGATGACACATACCTGTTCTGTCCAAGCCTCCCTCAGTTTGGGGGGTATGTGGCACCAACAACTTCCTGAATACAAGCACCTGGTCATTCAGCAGGTGCCCAGAGTGCAGCAGAGGCCAAGGGGCTGCTCCAATGTTACCTTTGTTTCTCTGTACCCAACCGCCTGCTTGACAGGCTGCCAATCTCAAGGATCATCAGCCCCAGATTAACAATTAAGCAAAATAAGTACATGCTTAGGGCACCAAAGGAAGGGGGGGGCACCACGGTGATTTTCCCTTAACTATCATGCAGACTCACTGCCAGACTCCACAGTCAATTTTTTTTGTAATTGTCCTTATCTGCCATGTTCAACTTTAACCTGCATTCTTAAAGAACTCTTTGGCATGGTGAATGACTAAAGTTTAAAAGTTTGATTTGAAGGGGTCATCAGATGTCACCTTTGTTCCCATCTCATGGCATGAGAGTTTCACAGCTGTTGAGGGGCACCATCTTCGGGCTATGCTTAATCCAGCTGCTGGCTATCATCAAGTCAGGAACAGGCAACCTGGAGCTCTCCTGATTTTTCTGACCTACTCCCAACAGCCTCAGCCAGCATGCCAATAGCAAAGGATTATGAAAACTATAGTTCACAATACCTGGAAGGCATGAGGTTGTCTGTCTCTGGCATTCTGTCAGGGTACAGTACTTTGACTTGTCAACTGCATCGTTGCTCATCCCTTTTCCCCTGATTTCCCATCAGCCTCGAAGCCACCCTTCCAACCAAAGCTGCCGCATCAACTGAGAACCTATATCCATCACAGACCTTTTTGTTTTCCAATTTTTTTTCTGCTGAATAAGTATCTCACTAGCGGGATTCACAAGATCACCGTCCCTAGATTAGTCCTTCATTACCCACCCTATGCTCACAACGCAGCAAACACCTGCGACTTTTCTTTCTTTCTTTCTTTCTTTCTTTCTTTCTTTCTTTCTTTCTTTCTTTCTTTCT